GTGCGGTCTTTATCTATAGGGAGGCGACAGGGAGGGGGGGTTGTGTACCTTCTTCTGTCTATCTGTTCTTCTTCTCCTGTTTCGCCTTCGTCTCACTCTCTTTCCATTCTCTTTCTCCCCCCCTCTCTCTCTCTCTCTCTCTCTCTCTCTCTCTCTCTCTCTCTCTCTCTCTCTCTCTCTCTCTCGCTCTCGCACCCTCTCTCCCTCTCTCATTCTCTCTGTCTACCTCATCATTGTTCACCCAAAGCAGTCTTATTGTGTCCCTTATGCACATAATTTGTTTTGTCCAAAACCAACAATTGAGGATTATTACATTTCCAGCAAACGTACAGAGTTTTTCTTTCTTGAACAGAGAATGGCCTTGACGAAGTAAAGAATTCATCAATCAATCAATCAGTTAATCAATGAATTAATTTCCCTTTTGTTGGTTTATGATGGCTTTGAGAAAGGTGTAGAAAAGTGGCTCAGATCGATATATTTGCCCCCACCCATGCCATATGAGGTAATCAGAGATATTCAGAAGAATTCCTTTTGGACCAGTAAAGGATAGATCAATTTTGAGACAGTAAAAGATGGGTCACTTTTGGACCAGTGACAGATGGGTCATGGGTTACTTTTGGACCAGTGACAGATGGGTCATGGGTTACTTTTGGACCAGTAGTGTTCACCAATTTCTTCATTTTATTTTAGAAGAATCAACTTTTCGCTTTGCCTATTCCATTTGCTAAATGCACAGTGCGGTCTACTTTGTGTTTTATTCTTTCCCCACGCTCACCACGGGAAAGTGGAAGTAGGACTTCTAGCTGGCTAACTGTATCTTTTTGAAGCTGAGTAAAAATTTCTTTTGTTTTTCCCGTTTATTTGACACATACTTTTGAATCATCCTTGAAAGTACGTTCACTTTTTATACTTTCTTTACTTATCCTTCTTCTTTTTTGGTACCCTCTATATCTTCGAGGGGAGAAAGAGCTTTCGGTCTCTTGCAAGCTGGATGGCCTGGCTGGGTGGAATGTTGTGGGTCTTAGGGGTAGCTTTCACACCCTCGATCCAGGTCTTTTATTATTTTCCTTTTGCCCAAAAGTGTGTACACATTGTATGTAATTTAGCCCCTCCCCCTTTCCACGTACACTACGCTCACCACCTACACCAACAACTCCCACATACCATCACCCTCCAGCCCCCCCGTCCCGCCTCCTGCCCACGGGACAAGTCATTAGCCAACTCTAAAATACAGCTCAGGCAGAAAAGACCTGAACTTTTCCAACATTTTCACTGGTGTCTGTCATGTTGTACAACGGTTAGGCTCTTCGCTGCTGCACGCAGGAGGATCAGGTTCGATTCCCGATTGGGGAGAACATTTATTGAGTGTCTTATTCTTTCTGCTGGTATGTTGTACGTGTCTCGATCTCACCATGGGTTGGTCCTAACAGGAAGTGTTCGAAGCCCGCCTCATAAATGTTCTAAATTGTGCCGATGGGGCGTAAAAACACCTACATGAGAAAAGATCAAATTCATTGACCAGGTGTCACATATTGCCATTTGTTCAGAGGGAGTAAAGTGAATCACATAATGTGTTCCTTATTTCCCATGACACGTGTTTCGTCCTTTTCACTCATCCTTCTTTTCTTTGTTTGTTATTCTATAGTAACACTGTTAATCTTCCACGACTACATAGCCCATATGTGTTTCAAGTGCCGTGAAACGTGAACGAGGTACTTAAAGATGATGATAACCGTTTAGTGAATGGGGAAAAGTAAGACGGACGTATAAAAAAACAACAGAGGAGGAGTAAAAAGGCAGGCAACAATGAGCACAGTACATACCACAGGCAACAATGAGCACAGTACATACCACAGGCAACAATGAGCACAGTACATACCACAGGCAACAATGAGCACAGTACATACCACGGGCAACAATGAGCACAGTACATACCACGGGCAACAATGAGCACAGTACATACCACAGGCAACAATGAGCACAGTACATACCACAGGCAACAATGAGCACAGTACATACCACAGGCAACAATGAGCACAGTACATACCACAGGCAACAATGAGCACAGTACATACCACAGGCAACAATGAGCACAGTACATACCACAGGCAACAATGAGCACAGTACATACCACAGGCAACAATGAGCACAGTACATACCACAGGCAACAATGAGCACAGGACATACCACAGGCAAATATGAGGGGAAACAACACTCTGTAGAACAAAAAATACTATGTTTATTTGAGATTAAAACAGAACGATATAGGAGCAATTTTTTCAACACTAGAATGTTTCCCAGGAAGAAAAAGATAACTGTAGCAAACTGCATATTATAACTAAACTTATTTTTTGCTCATTCTGCTCTAGTGATCTTATTATTTAATACATAATTTGCCAACTCTCTGAGATCTTAATAAAATCGACGTATGGGACACTTCATTGTTAATCTTTTCCTTCCTATGGCTTCCTGATGATTATATGTGACTTTCTTGTTGAATTCTTTCAGCCAGGTTGGTGAGTGGAGATTTTGTGGCAATCTTTCTTCCCTTTCTCGAGGTATCGATGGACCTATGTATTTCTTCCACCAGAGGTTCAGTAACGCTAGCGTAAAATCAAAAGACAAACTACAGACAAAAGAGAATATTATGTGCACGCATCTCTATTAGAGTGTACGCTTCTACATCTCTTACCCAACAAAGGCAACCCCATCGCGCGCGTCTAGTCTCGCGGTTGTGGTGGCATGCATACCTTTCTACACTTCTCCAAACTGTTGTAATTGTTCCCGTTACCATGGCAACCTCCGTAGATGAATGACTCGCATTCACCCGTCTCAGTATTGAAATAAAACCTTTTAATTGTTTGTTTGCAAACAGGTTTTGATTTGGGAAGGAAGCAGTCTGGGTGTGGCGTGGTCTGGCCTACACTTTTCCTGATGGGTTCGGTGCAGCTATTGTCACAATCCTCCAATGTCCCGAAGTTGTTCAGGTTACCCACGCAGCCGGAGTATCTAAATTTCTGGCACTGTTCGGCCGTTCTGTTGTAGAAGTAACGGACGTCAGGCTGTCCGCAGAGTGTGCTTCCTCTGTCCATCCCCAGATAGCAGCGTGCAGTCGGACACGACCTTTCACAGAATTGTTCTTTTTTGAAACGGTTAGCCCTAGTGTTGCAACTTCTATAACGGTATCGTCTGCATTTACCATCAGTGACATCGTAGTAATACTGCCTGGTACACTGTCCGTCGGCCCTTTCACGTTCTGCTCCTAGAGTGCACACGCACGCTGCTCGACACTCGGAGAAGCTGCGGAAGTTGTTTCTATTCCCGTCACAACCTGAGTAAGTAAATGGCTCACAAGACTCTGTCTCCCTGTTGTAGAAGTAATGGGTGTAAGAGCCGTCGCACTCTCCGCGGACGCTTGGTAGGCTGCAGTCTGAGGGGAGAGAAGAGAAGATTGTTTACAGTCTGAGGGGAGGGAAAACAAAATTGTTTACAGTCTGAGAGAAGATTGTTTACAGTGTGAGAGGAGAGAAGAACGTTATTACAACACTCTTCGTGTCACGTTATAATAACAAGCTACGTGTCACGTTATAATAACAAGCTACGTGTCAAGTTATAATAACAAACTACGTGTCACGTCATAATAACAAGCTACGTGTCAAGTTATAATAACAAGCTACGTGTCACGTCATAATAACGAGGTACGTGTCAAGTTATAATAACAAGCTAAGTGTCACGTTATACTAACACGCTACGTGTAACATTTTTTACAACAAACTATGTGTAAATACGTTCAACTTAGGGTAATAATAAGGTTACAATGCAGCACATATAAAAATGTGTACTTACATTTGGGCTGCTGGTTCAACACCTCATGAAACCTAAAAGCCAGGGCAGCTGGCAGAAAACACAGCAAGACGACCAGGTCTCTCATGATGGCGCTCTGTTCTGTTCAGTTGTCACGTGATCACTAGCAGGTAGGTCTGGGATGGAGCTGTCACTCACTAAGGACGTAACCAACAAAAGTACAGATTAGAACGTTGGAGGACAACATGCTGCCCTACAATTTTAAAGCTCTATCTGCTCTGTACCTACTTTTGAGTAATTTGATGTAAAAAATGATGAGTTTCACAATATGTCAAACTTTTTCGAATGCAATTTTTTAATACAGTCAAACCTGTGTAAGACGGCCACCCATTGTCAAGGAGACAGGTGGCCGTCTTAGGCAGGACTGATCAAGAAGAAGAAAACAAATTATTCCTATCAGAGGTCCCAATCGAAAGTAGCCGCATTGTTGTTTTTGTTGTTGGTGGTGGTGGTGGTTTATATTTTGTTTGTAATTTTTATTTTGCTGCTGATTTCGCAAAAGGGTGACAAAAAAACGAAATGTATCAGACAAGGAAGACCGAGTGTGAAGTAAAAACAAACTCCTGGGTCGCCACCACTCGGAGAACGAGCGACGTTTCTGTCACAAGTTCATGTTGACGTCCTTTGTTACTTTGTTACAGACTGGGTAAACAGTGACCACTCATCTCGCTTACGATTTGTGTTTAAGTTCTGGGCGGGGCTTATGGGTTATGAGGGATCACATTCTTACCTCACCAGCAGCTGAAAATTGGTAGCTATTGGTCAACAGTAGGAGGGGCCTACGCAACATGATCGGTTGGAGGGACTACCTAACAACAGCGACAGGGGATTGAACTATGACAGCTTGCGCACAACGCCAGGGGCCAAAGCACAATTTATGACTAAACGAAATGGAGTCACTAAGGTGGCCGTCTTAGACGGGTGTTATTGCTTAGTGTGATAGGGGTTGTGTGTTGAAATAAGGTGGCCGCGGCCGCGTTGGACAGGTGCCCGTTTTACACAGTTAAATTATATAGAAAAAACGCAAGGGGGGAAATGGAAAGTGGCCGTTTGTACAGGTGGTCGTCTTATAGAGGTGGCCGTCAGGGCAGGTTCGACTGTATATCGACAGCTTCACTGTACGCTTCCCGGAAAGCCAAGAAGGCTTCTAAATGATCTATTGTTTGCCTGGGTAATAACAGTTGTACACGGTTCAACCTCGGAGAAAGTAGACACTTTCAACACCAAAATGTGTGAACTACTAAACAAACATACACCAGTCGAATCCAGAACAGTGACTGATCGACCTTCTGCCCCGTGGATGACTTTGGAAATTAAACAATCTAAAATGGAACGTAGACCAACTGAGAGACGCTGGAGATCAACCAAGCTGAAAATTCATGAGGACATTTATAGACACTGTAACAACTTAGTGAAATCGTTAATAACGTCTGCCAAATTCCTGTATTATGACGGAAAAATTAACGAATGTACTTCCTCTAAAGTTTTATTTTGTATAACAAATCAGTTGTCTGGTAAAAAAGATCCGGCCAGCAACAAGTTTCCCACGAATGTACCTAAAAGTGACCTTCCTGATGGTTTTGGTCAATACTTTAGAGACAAGATATCCACGATTAGGAAAAAAATTGACATGACTACCCATAAACTACCATGTTTTGAAACATTCTCTGGAGGTAATCTTTAATGAATTTGTATGTGTAACGCAAGAAGACGTAAGATTAATCATAATGTCATCACCCCATAAAACATGTAGTCTTGATCCCATTCCAACACCACTGCTCATCACACATCTTGATAGTTTCATTGGATTTATAACAATTATCATTAATGAGTCTCTTCAGTCTGGAGTAGTACCATCACTCTTTAAGTCATGCTTTAGTTATTCCCCTTCTAAAAAATATCAAGTCTTTCCCCGGAGGAGCTCAAGAATTTCAGACCTACCTCAAACCTTCCCTTTTTTAAATAAAAAATCAAGGAGAAAGTTGTTTTGGTTCAATTGAAGAATCATTTAAAAGAAAACAATTTATATGAATTATGTCAATCTGCCTATCGGCAATTTCATAACACAGAAACTGCGCTATTGAAAATATATAACGACCTCTTGTGTGAGGCGGATGAGAACAAAATAGCAATTCTTTCTCTTCTTGATCTTAGTGCTGCCTTTGACACTATAGATCACACTGTTCTTATTGAACGATTGTTCAACACGTTTGGCCTGTCTGGCAGGGTTCTTGACTGGTTCAGGTCCTACCTGATTGGCCGTACACAATCTGTGGTTGTGCACGACTCTCTTTCGTCAATTTTTAAGCTAGACTTTGGAGTGCCTCAAGGTTCAGTATTGGGTCCAATCTTGTATAGGTTTTTTAAACAACAGCTTGGAGCTGTGATCAGAAAGCACAATATGAATTATCACATGTACACAGACGATACACAGTTATATAAATCTGTTCCACCATCAGATGTTAAAACCTTGCTTACTACCATGGGTCTGTGCATTGATGACATTAAAAAAATGGATGGTTGATGATAAGCTCCAGCTTAATGAAAATAAAACTGAAATTATTTTATGTAACCCTCAAATAAAGCCATATCCCCGTAGACATTGATCATATTTGTACTGAAAATGAAAAACTGTCTTTCACTAATAAAGCAAAAAGTCTGGGAGTGTATTTTGATTCAAAATTGTCAGTGGAACCTTATATCAATATTTATGTACCATTTTATTTTGTGAATTGAGTAGAATTGGTCATATGTCTATGTTTTTGAATAAATACTCGTTGAAAACGCTCATGTCATCTCTCTTGTTTTCACACACAATTATTGCAATGCTTTACTAGCTAACTTACCAAATACCACTCTTCACAAGTTACAACGTTTTCAAAATCATGCTGCTAGGCTTGCATTAAAGAAAAAGAAGAGGGACCACATTATTCCCATGTTAAGAACGTTGCATTGGCTTCCAGTGTCAGCTGGAATGTCATATAAAATTGCAATATTATGTCATAAATGTGTCAATAACAAAGCTCCCTCATATCTTAGTGATCTCATCCAGATTTATGTTCCATCTAGATCACTAATTTCAGGCGATCAGTATCTTTTAAGAGTTCCTAGAAAAGCGGGTAAAAATTAGCTGAAAGATCGTTTGTCCACCTTACTCCATCAGTTTGGAACTCTCTTCCCGAACCTTTGAGACATACAACATCTGAGTCTAAATTTTTAAAAATCTTTAAAGACACATAATTTAATGACATCATTTTTATGTCAGTAGATTCATGTTCAGTACAATGTTATGTAAATGACTATGTATCCACTTATGTATTTGGTGAATTGCATTGTTTGTGTATATTATTGTGTTATATATATGCTCATTTCGTGACGCTGTGTAAGCGTGCGCGTGTGATAAGCAAGTAGATGTGTGTGTGTGTATGTGTGTGTGTGTGTGTGTGTGTGTGTGTGTATGTGTGTGTGTGTGTTTGGCGTACATGTGTGAGCACATGTGTGCGTGCTATGCGTGCGTGAGTGTGTGTGTGTGTGTGTGTGTGTGTGTTTGTGTGTGTGTGTGTGTTTGTGTGTGTGTGTGTATGAGTGTGTGTGTGTGCTTGAGTGTGTCGTGTGCGTGAATATTGTTCGTACATGCATTTATGTAAAGCGCCTAGAACTGTGTTTACACGGAAGTGGGCGCTATAGAAATGATCTTCATTATTATTATTATTATTTGTAAAGCGCATAGAGCATACTGTACAGCGTGAAAAGGAAATATTCAAATGCAACTTTGTTATTATAATTATTATTACTATACTAATAATAATAATAATAATAATAATAATAATAATAATAATAATAATAATAATTGATTATTATTCATAAAATTATCATCATGATCTTTTTTATTGTTATTTTTAACTGTCACTGATTGCTGAGGTAAAATCTGGTGCTCTATTTCTACTTGTGAAACCGTGAGAGACGGTAGACTTAATATTATGGTCGTTTGGTTTCTGGTTAGAACGACACCCTTAGACGTCGTGGTGGGCAATAATATGAAATCGTAGACTAAAGCTAAAAGAAAGTCTCTACGAGTTGGCGGCGTAGACTAGAGCTAAAAGAAAGTCTCTACGAGTTGGCGGCGTAGACTAGAGCTAAAAGAAATTCCCTTCGAGTTGGCGCCGTGGACTAGAGCTAAAAGAAAGTCTCTACGAGCTGGCGCCGTGGACTAGAGCTAAAAGAAAGTCTCTACGAGTTGGAGCCGTAGACTAGAGCTAAAAGAAAGTCCCTTCGAGTTGGCGCCGTAGACTAGAGCTAAAAGAAAGTCCCTTCGAGTTTGATTCCCAGCATCCCCCAACAGAGAACGTCCAACACCTAAAAAAGGAACTTACCTCGTCAGTTCACCGAGCTGCAGATGAATACTTACCTATCGGAAGAGACGGTTTATATAGTATGTGAGAACAAAAGTGGTACAATAGGCGTCTTAAAAGCAACAATTATTGCTGGTACAAAGTGGGATTAAAAGGCTATTTGGAATAAAGGCGTTGCCCGAGGAATATGAGGTATGTTTTATTTGTTGCGTGCGCCTTACGCCGTGATAGATGATTATAAACAAGCACATCAATAATAAATAGGGATTTTCGAATAGTTAGAATGAAGGTGTGGCGTAAGTTAAAGGTCTCGACTTCCGTAAATTTGAACTCAAAACAGATACATTTTAAAGGGCCTGTCTTAAATTTATAAGCATGCCTTGACAGGCAAATAAAGAGCTTTTCCACGGAGAAAGAAGATCGTTTGCTGGATTATGTCACAGCCTAATACTTACTCCTGAATAAGTCTGTTGACCTAAATAACTGGGTGCATTTATACGCCATATCATTATAGGATTACCTTATAGAAAAAGAATAATAAGTAGGTTTTATTAAAAAAAAACCTCAGCGATACAAATAAAAGCAAATTCGATTTAGATTATAGAAAGCAGACACAAGACGACTCAATACTTTCCGAAACGCACGTTTTCTGTGCAAGGTTTGAATTTGTTTCTGTTCCATGAGCGAAAGGTTAAAAAGGGGGGAAATTTGTGGC